AAGTGGGTGGGGTCGGGCGTTTGGTGTAAGGGTTGAGACCCCCTACACACATGTCTGATTCCATCTGGGAGCGCCTGGGTTTGGATCCCAGCTTCCTGTTCAAGCGCACCCTGGGAGGCAGCAGATGATGGCTCAAGTCACCCGGTCCCTGCCACCCACGGGGGAGACCTGGGCTGAGTTCTCAGGGTGATAGGCCTGGGTGCCCTTCTTATTCCTGGAGCCTGCCCCACCCCCACCCACCCCCAGCTAAGAATTCAAAGCAGAGACCTACATACGGTGCCCCCCCGGGGGGAGGGCAGGGTGTACTTCCACGAGAGTGAACACACGTTCACGTGGGAATGTGGATCATCAGAGGGGTACGTGGCATGACTGTGCCAGAGTTGCCTGTGATGGGGCGGGGGCAGGGGCGGGGGCTGGGAAGGGTGGTCACCTCCCAAAGGCCCCCTCTAAACATCCGGGCGGATCCAGCTTCTACCTTCTCAGTACCACTAACGTGAGACTCGGAGAACCAAACGTTTACCACGTGAGCATTGGGGGACACCCAAACTCATACCCAGACCACAGCACCCCTACAAAACTGTATTAAACATAAAACCATTCAGAGGCAAAGGAGGATTCTAGCATTGAGGAAGTACTTTTATTTATTTTCTTCCATTTTTTCCATCTGGCTCTCTCACTGTGGGTGCAGGGGCCCCATTACTTGGGCCATCCTCTGCTGCTTTCCCAGGCTCATTAGCAGGGAGCTGGATCACAGTAGAACAGCTAGGACTCACGCCGGTGCTGATTTGGGAAGCCCACGTCACACAGGTGGTGGCTTAACCTGCTGGCCATGACACCAGCCCCAGGAAGTACTTATAACTACTGGGTCTGAAGCCACCGGGTAGCCCCAAACCTTCCGGCAATGAGTAGATGAACGCTGCTCGCTGGCCTGACTCCACAGTACAACAGCTCTCCTCCCCCTCCACACTCCTGCCGCTCCCATACCGGCTCGGAGCCTCGGGGTCGGGATGCTTGTGCCAAACCCTGGCCCTGCTACTGGCTAGTTGTTCTCTCCCTGAGCCTCAATTTGATCATCTGTAAAATGGGGTGGTGGTGATACTATGTTCTGCCTAAGAACGCGTTCCCCCAAGGGAGAGCCACAAATGAAAGGATGCTGAAAAGTGCATAGTAGGCATAATAGACTAAGCTTCTGCCTGCTGTGCTGGCATCCCGTATGGGTGCCGGTTCAAGTCCTGGCTGCACCACTTCCGATCCAGCTCTCTGCTGGTAGCCTGGGAAGGCAGTGGGGATGGCCTAAGTGCTCAGGCCCCTGCACCCAAGTGGGAGACCCAGAGGAGGCTCCTGGCTTCAGCTCCAGCCATTGCACCTATTTGGGGAGCGATGGAAGACTTCTCTCTCTGTAACTCTACCCCTCAAATAAATAAAACCCTTTTAAAAGTGCTGAATATCTGGGACATGTTGGCTGTGTTGGCTGTTGTGAACGTGGGGAGAGGCACACGTGCTTGTCACATGGTATTCTCTGAAGAGGAGGCAGAGGCAGAACAAATAAATACCAGAGCTTTGTGTTCTCACTCGGTGGAGCACACCGAGCACGGGACAATCTGCAGGGTCACCCAGACCCAGGATGGAAAGGCTCAGCCTTGAGCAAACCACACTGACGTCCTCCTCTCCTCCCCTCTGCTCCCCAGCGGATGTCACCTCCCTCACCGTGAGAGAGAGAGAAAGTGAAACAAAAGGAGCAGGCTGTATATTTTCATACACCTCTTAGAAAGAGGAGCCAAAGGAGAGGCCCCAGGACTTCCGGAGAAACTGCCAGACGACGCCGGCACCCTCCCCAGCGAGAGCATCCTCAGCCCTGCTCTGACAGGAGCCTGACCCGCAGGGATCTAGAGAGGAGAGGCTGGTCTGGCTCACGGTTCTGGAGGCTGGCGCCCGCATCTGCACAGCCTCCCGTGAGGAACTGCGTGCTGCATCATCACACTGTGGACGGCCCCACGGGGCCAGGCAGGGCCGGCGTGCCAGAGGTCGCTGCTTTCTTTTCTAAGATTTATTTATTTATTTGAAAGGCACAGTTACAGAGAAAGAGAAGGGGGTGGAGATAGTCCATCTGTTCATTCCCCCAAATGACTGCAATGTCTGGGGCTAGGCCAGGATGTAGTCAGGAGCCTGGAACGCCATCCAGGTCTCCCGTAAGGATGGCAGGGACCCAAGCACTTGGGTCATCTTCCACTGCTTTCCCAGGCGCATTATCAGGGACCTGGATCAGAAATGAGGCAACTGTGAGACTCATTTGAGTATCACAGGAGGCGGCTTAACCTGCCGTACCACAGAGGTCACTTCTATAACCAGGTCATTCCCCCAGACACCGGTCCATCCGTGGATCCAGCAATGGAGTAATCTAATCATAGAGCACTCAGGACCCAGTCAGCTGCCACAGGCCCCGCCTCTCAGATGCCATTAATTTAGGACTTTGGGGATTAACTTGCCAACACAGAGAATTTGGAGGACACATCCAAAGCCTGGATGGCACCCCCACTTCTAGGTGGGTGGACAGGTGCGCAGCGCGCTGGGCTCCAACTACGACCTGACTGCAGCTAAGGAGCCCCCACGGCTCTTGTTGGGACAGGGATGTGGTGGGGAGTGCAGGGGGGGGGACAAAGATGTTTTAAGTTTGCAATCTCCAGTCTCTGCCTTCCGAGGAAAATGGATGCTCCCAGGACTCTCCGAGGATGGAGTGCCTGAGCAAGGCTAAATTGCTGTGCACCAGGACACACACACACACACACACACACACACACGAGGAGGAGGAGGAAGGGGGAGGGAAGAGCAGGCGAACTGCGTCTGGGCTGCTTAACAGCAAGCAGTTCTGAGATGGAGCCCTGCTCACGGGGAAAGTGCTCCACCAGCCGGCTGCACACGGGGTGTCCACACCGCGCAGCCCGCACTGCCGGGATCTGTGAGCATGCCAACTTTGACAGTTTGCTCTGACCAGAAAAAAGCGCAAGCGCCCTTGTATCAGAGAAAGGGTGAGAAGGGTAAAGTGTAACTTCCTTCCAAAGCCCCCTCTCTGAAATCCCTCAGATCCCACTGGAAAGGCAGAACCAATCTGCAGTGTGACATTTCTGGTGCATAAGTGGGCAGGACAATCATACCGCCCCTTCAAGGAACATTCCAGAACCTGCAACCTGGGAAACGTCCCAGGCTCTCAGCCCCAATGTGAAATGGCCAGTATGGGCAGTGGTTAAGACGCTGCTTGGGACACCCTCATCCCATATCGGAGTGACTGGGTTTGAAGTCCAGCGGTGCTGCGAACTCCAGCTTCCTGCTAGAGTGCACCCTGGGAGGCAGCAATAGCTCAAGTTCTTGGGTTCCTGCTACTTACGTGAGTTCCTGGCTCCCAGCTTCAGCCCGACCCAGCCCTGGCTGTTACAGGTATTTAGGGAGCAAACCAATAGATGAGAGGTCTTTCTGCCGCTAACCCGAGGAACTGGTGATGGCAATGGTTTTGGTCTGCCCAGCAGTCTTTCATTTGGCAACTCTGTGCAGCTCTAGTGGGGCTGTCAATCACCCTGGCTCAACACCTGTGACCTAGGTCTGGTTGGTTAAGGTGCCCAAGCCCCGGGGCTACAGGGTTGACCTTGGAAGGAGCATGACTCAAGCCAGACCAAACAGAAGGCTTACCTGGATGGATGGATGGATGGATGGATGGATGGATGGATGGATGGATGGGTGGATGGGTGGATGGATGGATGGATGGATGGGTGGATGGATGGATGGATGGATGGGTGGGTGGATGGATGGATGGATGGATGGGTGGGTGGATGGATGGGTGGGTGGATGGATGGGTGGATGGATGGATGGATGGGTGGGTGGATGGATGGATGGATGGGTGGGTGGATGGATGGATGGGTGGGTGGGTGGATGGATGAGTGGATGGATGGATGGATGGGTGGGTGGATGGATGGACGGGTAGGTGGGTGGACACACACATTTTTAACAGGCAGTAAGGGGGAGAGCTCCTTCCTCCAGGGAGTTAGAGTGGAATGCTGTAAGTCCAGGACCGTCTGTGCCTGTCCTTCCCGGGGCACGGACGACACCCATCTGCAACAACAGATAATTTGGGTCCTGCTCTTTGAGATAAGAGCCCTGCTGAGAGCCGAGTTCCTCGCGTGCACAGGTCAGGTTTGCCCCTGGACATCCAGTCACAGGAATCTTTTTCCCAACAATTCCTTTTTCTGCTCTTTTTGATTAAGCTAAAGCTGGACCAGACATTTCCAACACAATAACCAAAGACAAGCCGTGGTTCGTAGCTCACTTGACATTTTCCCGTTGTACATGGCCACAGCCCTAGCCTGGCCCTTGCTTTCCAACTGACGCTGATGGAGATGTCAACACCGCTAGTCCCCAAATTGTGAATCTTTGTCTTTACCATACTCCTTACGTGTGGACCACCGTGCCTGCCCCTCCCCTGCAAGGAATGGTGAGGAACTCAAACGCAGTACCTAGCAGAGCACAGGGCCCGACCCGAGCACGGTCAGGGGCTGGTGGTGGGACGGACGAAGGCTGCAGACCCCATTCTGTGTGCTTCAAACTGGGGAGGAGGAAATCTTTATCCTGCAGGGCTGGCTGAGCCACGCCTGGCTGCTAGCGTCGGAGAAATCCAACACAGCCTCCCCGCTGCCCCCCTCCCGCTCCCCTCAGAGCCAGCTGGCTCCACAAGGGGCAAACGAAGGCACTGCAGATGCCAAAGTCCTCGGGGTGCCTGGTGCTGTCACAGGATCTGTGCCCACTTTTCCTCAACCCTGCCGACAGCACAGCCTTCTCTGGTGGTATGCTGGTCCCGCCCTGGTGCAGTGTCGTTATGTGGGACAGAGAGAGCCACAGTGCCACTACTACTACCTGTGACCCTGCGTGGCCCACCCCCTTTCAGATCCTATTCACTGCCAAGCCCAGTTCTATGTCACAGACCCTCCTGCACTACAGACCAGGCACAGACAGCATGGTGTTGTGGTCTTTATTCCGTTAAACAACCTTGCAGCTACAAGTGAAACAGAAACATGCTTCAAGTACATTAGCGGCATCATCTCATCTCATTGCACGGTTTATACAATTTAAAGCCATTCAAAGGCAAAGGTTTAGCATAAAGTATTTTTAATAAATCATTTTTAAAGAAAAACAATACAAGAGAAACCCCAGGAAAGTTTATGAATGTTCCAGATTAATATGAACTCCTTTTAAGGCAAACATCCAGGACAGCACTTACTGATCTAAGTTAGAACGCGCCGGGCATCCGTGCAACCTCCCCTCCGTGAGACACCTGAATTTCTGGCCCGTGAAAGTCCTTCCCAGAGAAGTTTCTTGCAAAACCGCTCCACCTCTAGGTCCAGCTTGAAAATTCTGGACCTGGGGTCCTGAGGCCGCTAATTATCAAAGTCATGAGCCTGCCCCTCTTTACTGTTCATTATTTTTATTTATGGTTTACGGTTTCCTGTGTGTGGAAGATTTAGGGTTTCAAGTCACAGTGCTACATTTTGCTTTTTAAGTGAAAAATAAAAATACAGCTATCAAAACCTTAGGAATTCCAATTACACCTGTTAGTAACAGGGTAACCGCCCATTCGTTCTCCAGGGAAGGCACTGTGACGGTTAGAGAAAGCCCCAGGGAGCCCACACAGCCTCTGGATTCAGACGTCCTTACGCGCTCAGTGCAACCTCTCGCTGACGCTTCCCGCACTGGGCAGCAGCCGCGGCCCAGACAGCACTGCGCGGCATCTCTCCTGGGGCTTCCCATGCCACGAGCAGACTCTCCAATCCCTGAACCTCCGACGAGGCAACCTCTGGGACCAAAGCTGGGAGTTCCCCTTCTGTTTGGTTAACAAGCTCCCTAGGCGGGTCTCACGAACGCCGGGGTCGACCAGAGCCAATTCTCCAAACACAGCACAGTGGACTGAACCTAAGGAGAAATTCAACCGCTGTTCCGTGGTCTTTCACAAGGGGCTTCCTGATGCCACTTTAACAGAGGCTCTGTGCTTCCGTGACTGACGCCCTGACCCCGAGACTCTGCTGGATTCGAACCCAAGCCAGAAGGACACAGCCCACGCTGGCCGCCTTAGATGTGAACCCCAAACCATGCTCAATTATGTGGCAATAGCTCCATGAGGAAACTGACGTAAGTTACATAGTTTTAAAAATAAACGCTAGGAAAAAAGTAAAGCTGCTTAGGTTTTATTGCTTTCGCTGGACTTGAATCAACCTACTCAGTTTCTCTGTAACTCACACATACACAGACTCACCCACACTCACCCTGTTCAAGGCACCGTGTGTGTAAGCTGGGAAGAACACTGCACATGGCCTGCTGAGGAAGCTGACAGCAAACACACGGCAGTGTGTGTGTGTGTGTGTGTGTGTACGTGCACGTGGTGTCCAAAGTGAGTGAGAGAAGAGAGAAAGAGTGGGGAAACAGAACCTACATTCGCAGGTACTTCTACCCAGCGTGGTCAGAGTTAGAACAGAGAACATGGCTTATCCTTATTCATGGCGGTTTCTCCTTGCCTTGTCCTTGAATTAATCTAGAGAGATTCCTCAGCGCAAGCTCCAAAGGTTTGATTCTATTATTTTTATGGTAGGGAGCTAATTTGGAAGTCCTTTTTAAAATTAGCAACAACCAACTTGTCCTGAGATATTTTAATAAAAAAACTGTGAGGAACTCCTTGATTATTATGTTCAGAGGAAGGTGCTCCGTATCCACACTGGAGGGACATGTGCACATTACCAGCGAGGGAGGGCCTGCTGGGGGCGGGGGGGAGCACACGCCGCACCACAGCCAGAACTCCTGCGCAAACTCACAGCTCAAAGAACGCAGCAGGTAGATCTCAACCTGGACACCAAGGCTGTGTACAGCCAGCAGTGGCCGTGAGAATGCAAATGACCTAATCACTGTCACAGGAAAAAGGTCCCAGAGGAAACCCTGCAAACGCTTTCTAGAGGCAGAACAGGGAACTGAACGGGGAGCGAAGACTTCGCTGGATAATCAGCCAAGGTTATTCCTTTAAAAGCCAAAACAGAAATGGTGGCTCCACACAGGAACTAAATCCCAAGCTTTCATTAAATCACGCAGTTATCACTGTAAAAAGCAAACGTGCTTTTTAGAACGTGCATATTAGAATTCACCTTAGCATGAATTTCAGACACATTACCCTGTCTCACTATTAAAGTTCTGACTTCTGACAGTTACTCTGCAGTCAATGCTCTTACTCAGAGAAGGCATGGGAAGTCTAACCGCGAGGCCTCCTGGTGAGCGGAGCCTGCAGGGACGGGAGGCCACCTGAACACGGCCAGAACGCGAACAGCTCTCAACCTGCAGTCAAAGCTCCCGCCACCGAGAAGCAGCGGCTTAGAACACGCTGGAAGTTTTCTAAAATTTTAATAGCAAGTGAGCAAAATAGTAACAACCTCCAGGCAAGACAGCATGTAAGAATTTTTAAAAAATACATAATATGCTTGGAATTAATCGGGGGACTTACAAAATACTGCAGTGGTGAAGCGTCCACCAGAAGACACCCTCTGGGAGGCTCCCTTTTCCCTACTCTCCATTCACACCTCGTCTCTGTGAAAGTGACAACTCCGATTTTGCCTACGCCCTTCTATCTCCCACCCACAACAAAAATTACCACAAAAATTAAGGCTCACACACCTGAATGGTTATACAAATACTTAAAGGTGGGTGTGAGGAAGTTGAAAATCCACAAAAATTCATCATTAGAAATCAAAGGAAAAAGCCACCGACAGACAAAAACCTCATCATACAATCAGGGTAAATAAAAAAGAATTAGTGGATGCGTGGAGACATTGCCTGCATGTGGGTGACTTTGGTCCTCATTAAGCCAAAGCGATTTCAAGGCCATGAGACGATTCAAAAGTAAATAAAGGCCGAGGGACCGCATCAAAGTGACGACTTCAGCTTCATTATCAGGAAGGCCACACGGTGCATAGGAGGATGCAAATAAACACCTTGGGTCAAGACTGTAAAACAGGCCGTTGAATCACTAATTACCGCTCAGCCACAGGAACTGGGACATCAGTTAAAGGCACTAATATTTGGTAATGTCTTTCCTCGAATCCTTAAAAAAGCTCTATTCTTGCACAGAACTCAAACACAAAACCTCTCAAATGGCCACTGTGTGTGAGAGCTGCGAGCCGCACACGTGCGTGTCCAAGCTCCCCGGGAGTCTGACCAAGGCACAAAGCCACGCGCAGACCACAGGTCACACGGCTCACTTAAACGCAGCTTTTTATTCTTAGGGGATCCGGCTCCTTCCATTTAGGATGAGCCAGCCTGGCTTTTCAAGGCACATTCGCCTCTTTTCTAGAAAGAAGCTATAGGAACAACAACAACAAAAAGAGCACTTTGCAGCTAAACTGTGAGGCTGCCCGTGAACCGACCTTCCGGGGATATTTCCGTATGACGGGGTTCTCCCCACACTGACAAACAGGTTCTCTAAGATCATAGACACGGTGTTCTGAGTGCAAGGGCATCAGGATTGGGGACTGCAGTTCGGAAGCTCTTCCCAGCTCTGTAAACTTTTACAGAAGAGTAAGGTATAAAAGAAGTTGAAGCTGCACCGACAGCACCTTCCGCGAGGCGCCCCCCACCCCGCAGCGTCTGCGGCAGCGCAGGCTCAATCCCACAGGCACTGAAGCGGCGGCGTTTCCATCGTTTCCTTTAGCTTCTTCCCCCATAAAGTGCACAAAGCAGAGAACACTAAGAAAACAGAGACGGGCTTGGATCCGTGACAGCACGAAAGGAACGGCTGCCAGGAGACATGGAAGCGTCTAAGATCTGGACCCACAGGGAGGCCAGGTCATTTATTACAGCGCCACAGGTCCGCGCTGCCCAGGGGTCTCACAGCCTCGGCTCCTCGGCCAGGCCCCGTGGTGCGGCGGGAGCCAGGACTCGGCAGGGGCTGGCGGCGGCAGGCGGCTCTCGCAGGGTCCTCACGTTCCGATGCTACTGCGCTTTCTTCTCCGTGGAAGGCCGCCCGACCACGGCCTCCCTCATGGCAGCCTGAGTGGAATTACCAATGTGAGAAGAAGCCTGCAAGAGTCCACACATTCACACCTAAGTTAATGCAACACAACTCAGCACCACGAGCCGTCCTTGGAGACACACACCTCCGCCTCCCCCAGCGATGGCTTACGAGAGGAGAACGCGGGGGGAGGGGAGGCTGCGGGAGCTGCCCACCCGGAACCCCAGGACCCTCTGCCCTGTGACGGGGCGGCCAGCTCCTTTGGCTCACCACGCTACGGGCCTACCCGATCTGCTCCTGTCACTCAGAAAGACACGAGCTAGTCTCAAAGATCTGTAAAGCTGGAGACGACCTCTGCAAAGAGCCGCTGACTTGTTGGAAGATTTTAAATGAAGGAGATGTCATCTCTTGTTGAGTTCATATTTTTTTCAGGACTCTTGATTTTCAGCAAAGCAAGATCATGGAGAGGAGAAGGCCGAATCACACAGGAATTGTGTCTAAAGAGCACGCACAGGGCCAGCACTGTAGCGTGGCAGGTAAAGCCGCTGCCTGCAGTGCCTGCATCCCATTTGGGTGCCGGTTCAAGTCCTGGCTGCTCCACTTCCGATCCAGCTCTCTGCTGTGGCCTGGGAAAGCAGTGGAAGATGGTCCAAGTGCTTGGGCCCCTGAACCTGCGTGGGAGACCTGGAAGAAGCTCCTGGCTCCTGGCTTCAGACTGGCCCAGCTCTGGCCATAGTGGCCATCTGAGGAGTGAACCAGCGGATGGAAGGCCTCTCTCTCTCTGCCTGTCCTTTTCTCTCTGTGTAACTGTGACTTTCAAATAAATACATAAATCTTTAAAAAAAAAAAAAAAGCACCCATAGGTTTCCTGTGAGGGACACCCTACTCTAATTTGAAACTTTTTATATACTAAAGGCCCACTTTAAGTCATGGAAACAAAACATCAGGAATAACTACTCCTATCCCAAAGAGGATAACAGACTAAAGCCAAGGAAGTTTAAAAACGGCCCAGGGAGGTTTCTCATGCCCTCTTTGCTACCAAACTCCGAGATGTTTCACGACAGAAGCTGACCCGGCCGCCCACCATCACCCCACACCACTCACCTGCTCCAACACATAGGCCGCACCCACATCGATAGCTCCGCCCAGCTCGCGGTACTGGCCGGAGTACCGGATGTAGCCCCAGGTGAGCAGCGCTATCAGCAGCAGCCCGACCATGCAGTTGAACAGCTGGGCCACGACCTCGAGGCCCACGAAGCCGGTGAGGCCCGAGGCGATGTAGAGGGCCACGATGCCCGCGAAGAGCACGGCGGGCGTGCGGAAGGTGCTGAAGACGTTCTTGCTGCTGTTGTGCCTGCAGAAGCTGCCGTACAGCTCCCCGATCTCCTCCTCCAGCTCCTGCTGGTAGCGCAGGCTGAAGTCCTTCCCGCCCATCTTCTTGGTCTTCCTGAAGTGGTCCAGAGCGAGCTGTCTGAACTCACTGTGCTTCTCCTCTAGAATGTCAGGGGACAGGTAAGGCTTCTCGCCCCCACAAACCTGCAGGCAACAGAGACACGGCATGGCGAAGGTCCCTTCAAAAACAGGTGAAGACTCTCAAAGGTTACAAGGCTTTAAGTATCAGACGTTAATCTCTTATCACTGTGTTCACTTCGGGGCCGGCACTGTGGCGTAGCAGGTAAAGCTGCTGCCTGCAGTGCCGGCATCCCATTAGGCACCAGTTCAAGTCCCAGCTGCTCCACTTCCCATCCAGCTCTCTGCTGTGGCCTGGGAAAGCAGTAGAAGGTGGCCCACGTACTTGGGCCCCTGCATCCACGTGGGAGACCTAGAAGAGGCTCCTGGTTCCTGGCTTCGGATCGGCCCAGCTCCTCTCTCTGCCTCTGCCTCTCTGTAACTCTTTCAAATAAATGAATACATCTTAAAAAAAAAAAAAAAAAAACTTTTCACTGTTTATTTTCATTTTGTTTGAAAGACAAAGAGAGATCTTTCTTCTCTGGTTCACTCCCAAATGCTCACGACAAACAGGGCTGGGCCAGACTGAAGCCAGGAGCCCAGAACTGTCCAACCAGGTCTCCCATGTGGGTGGCAGGGACCCAGGCACTCGGGCCATCCACCTGCTGCCTCCCAGGGGCACAGCAGCAGGAAGCTGGATGGGAGCAGAGCAGCCAGCACTCCAGCCAGCACTCTGCTAGGAAAGGTGGGTGACACACTCACAACTGAGCTGCTGCGGCAAGCGTCAGTTAACTCTCAGAAGGTGACGGAGACCAGTGAAGTCTGGTCTCACTCCTCTGCAGAGCGCACTTGGGTAAGCAGAGTGAGGAGCTCAGCGTGGCCCGGAAACGGAAAGAAATGACCATCAGAAGAGTGAAATCGACGTTTTGAGCTTCGATGACTGTTTACAGCCCTGAACAGTGTTTTTTTAATTATTATTATTTCTTGAACTCTTTACTTAGTGTAGGGTTAACCTCATGAGTGTAAAATAAACTCAAAGTAGATCACTGTAAAAATTAAAGAGGAGGATGAGGAGAGGAAGGAGGAGGAAGGGTGGGAGCGTGGGAAGCATCACCACACTCCTAAACTGGTGTACACCAAATACATGTAACCTGTATACCTTAAATAAAAAAGAATAAGTAAAACACATATATTTTTAAAAAAAAGAAACGAAATGGTGATCAGAAGGACCTGGTTATCACAATGGCCTGAATACAGCTTTGCTGCCTCATAACTTTTTTAAAAAATTATTTTTTTAGCGCCGTGGCTCACTTGGTTAATCCTCCGCCTGCAGCGCCGGCATCCCATATGGGCCCCGGGTTCTAGTGTCGGTTGCTCCTCTTCCAGCCCAGCTCTCTGCTGTGGCCTGGAAAGGCAGTGGAGGATGGCCCAAGTGCTTGGGCCCCCGCACCTGTATGGGAGACCAGGAGGAAGCACCTGGCTCCTGGCTTCGGATCAGTGCAACACACCGGCTATAGCGGCCATTTGGGGGGTGAACCAACAGAAGGAAGACCTTTCTCTCTGTCTCTCCCTCTGTCTGCAACTCTACCTGTCAAATAAAAATATATACTTATTTATTTATTTATTTGACAGGCAGAGTTAGAGAGAGAGAAAAGACAGAGAGAGAGAGAGAGTGCTCTTTCATCTGCTGGTTCACTCCCCCAGATGAATGCAAGAGCCAGGGCTGGGGCAAGGCCAAAGCCAGGAACCCAGAACTCCATCCAGGTCTCCCATGTGGGTGCAGGCGCCCAAGTACTTGGGGCATCTTCCGCTGCTTTCCTGGGTGCATTAGCAAGCAGCTGGATTGGAAGCCAAGCAGCTTGGACTCGAACAGGCATCACAAGTGATGGTTTAACCCGCTGTGCCACAATACCAGCCCCCCTGCAGTGTCAAGTCAGATCAAGTTTGGGCCTCGGAAGACAGCCGCATGGTCAGGTATCGCGACACCTCAGGATCAGGCACCTGCCCACATACCTCTTCCATGTTGTTGTAATACACGTCCTTGGCAGCGGCTGCCGCCGCTAAGTTGTTGGCTTCAGCAGTGGCCTGTTAGGAAAGGAAGGCGTGAGCTATAAACCCTTCCTCTTTGAACATGCTCCACAAATACCCAAGTACAAATCTCTCACCCCACTTCCATTCTTCCTTTCTCGTTAACCTTCTGCTACTTTTTAGACTTTCACATAGCTCAATTTATGAAACAAAATATATCTTTTCTGCCAGATTTTCAACCAAATTAAAATCTGTTCTTTAATATGTAAGACTCGTTAACACAGGATAAACCTCTAAAAATCTAGGGAAATAGCATTTCCTTGTCTCTGGTTTTAAATGTAAGAAATAGCTGTGAATCAAAAAAAAAAAAAAAAAAAAAAAAAAAAGGAACATTTTCGTCTTTGAAATGTGAGTCCCAGGCACTCGTCTCCTGTGTGAAAATGCTTTGCTACTAAAGGAACTGACATTTGGCAATGAGTGTGCTTATGCTCGTCATAAGAAAGTCAGAGATTATCTGCGTTAACCAGATGACAGTGTCTAGTCAAACACGTTAAAGAACTGCTCAGTGAATGAGTGACCAGGCGCGTCAGCAGACAACAGACGCAGGCCACAGCCTGTCTGCCACGCTGGGTGCGTCCTGCCTGGGAAAGCACGGCTGTGCCCCAGAGTGCGTCTGGTGGGGCACCAGGCCCAGCGAGCAGGGGCCATTCTGTTCTTAACTGGTGCCACCCCACGTCCAGAGACAAGGCCAGCGGCGCCCGCTTACTGCATGTAACTGACAGGTGTCATTCCGGATGTCGGAGAGCCTCTTACCTGCAGCATGGACTTGGGGTGAGGCAGATCTTCCCCTTGGTAAATTTTGATATATGCCTTAGAATACAAACGTTGAAAAGATTATGAAAACTATGGTTCTGTTCAATTTTATTCCCATCTTGAAAACAGTGACCATACAACTGCATTTTCCTAAACACCTAGACCGACAGTCAGGAATTAGCGGAAACACAACACACCTTGGAAGTGCATGTTAGCATTTTTAGTTCACTAAAAATGTTCTCAAGCAGCACAAGCCCACGAAGGCTGGGATTCCACCAGAGGCCCGTCACGCTGGCCTCACCACTACCTGTGGGCTTTGAGGCAGTCGGGTCACGACTAGGTGCCGCTCCTACTCACAGCAACCTCCTAACCACCTCCTTGGCACTGCGTCTTCCTTGAGGAACAATCTTCCTTTAGCCACAGTAATTACTCTGAGAGAGCGCAAAGACATCCATTTGGTTCTTAGACCGGTACTGCCACCCAGTGGCCCACGCCTGGAAGGACACTGGGGTCTCTCATCCGGCCTCACCATCTCCCCCCAACCCAGGAAAATATTAAAATTCAAGATGGGTTACAAGCTAAACCAGCTTTACCAAAAATTCAACATTTTAATAATTAAAACCCGTAGTTACCTTAAAATACTCCAGTAGTCCCCGACAGGTAACTTTCGAGCCGTTGATCTCTTTTTCCATTAACTTGGAGGGGTTTAATACATATGGGATCAGCGTCTGCAACTGCTCTTTGAACTCACCAGCAATATCTGTTCACAGGACCATAAAGAAGGAAACATGCCAGACGGCCTTAGTCTACCCAGGTGAGCATACAACACAATCTTCACAGTCCATTTAGTTATTTTTTAAGATCTATTCATTTGATACGAAATTTGTTTACCTTACGTTAATAAAAATATTATTTTTTAAAATTAAATGTGTTTGAAAGGCAGAGAGACAGAGAGATTGACTCACTCCCCAAAAGGCCGCAACAGCCAGGGCTGGGCCACACTTGCCACACTGAAGCCAGGAGCCTGGAAGTCTATCCTGGCCTCCTATGTGGGTGGCCAAGTTCCTGAGCTTCCCAGGTGCACCAGCAGGGAGCTCATCAGAAGCAGAGTGGCTGGGACTTGAACCTGCGCTGCAACATGGAGTGCAGGTGTCCGCGCAGCAGCCTAGCCCTCTGCACCACAGTGCCCACCCCGCTGTTTCCACATTCCTTAGCTCCAAGTGAGGGCAGTGGGGTCCCAGACCGTACATGTCGGACCCATTCTGGCTGTGACCAGACTGCTGGCACAGCTCTGCCTCCATGCATCCTTGTCCCCTCCCCTGCTGAAGCATAAGGACCTCTAAGATCCCCTCTGGCTCAGAGCAGAACACAGGGCACATCTGCACTGGGTGCTATGGTCTGGCTGTTCAACGTCCCCCGAAGGCCCATGTGTTAGCAGACTGGTCCTGAGGGTGGCGCTACTGGGAGGCGGTGGAAGCTTTAGGAGGCGGGGCCCAGCGGGAGGTTCTCAGGTCGCTGGGGGCACTGCCCTGGAAAGGAAGCTAGCTCTCATGTGACCTCCTGAGTCGTGCAAGAGGGCTGCTGTGGAACCCTGGTGAGCCTTCCTCTCTCTGTGCCCTGCCATCCGCCAGGGGTCCCTGGCCAGAAAGCCTGCCCCATGCCAATTGGCCTCTGAAGCTCAAAAACCAAGCTCAGTGTGAGTGAGCCGCCTCAAGGATTTTGCTATAGTAACAAATGCTAATATACTTGGTTTCCATTCTGGGGATGTTTGGTCGATACCCTAGTATTTCAAGAAATTTCATTTTTGGCCGGCGCCGCGGCTCAATAGGCTAATCCTCCGCCTAGCGGCGCCGGCACACCGGGTTCTAGTCCCGGTCGGGGCGCCGGATTCTGTCCCGGTTGCCCCTCTTCCAGGCCAGCCCTCTGCTGTGGCCAGGGAGTGCAGTGGAGGATGGCCCAGGTGCTTGGGCCCTGCACCCCATGGGAGACCAGGAAAAGCACCTGGCTCCTGGCTCCTGCCATCGGATCAGCGCGGTGCGCCGGCCGCAGCGCGCCGGCCGCGGCGGCCATTGGAGGGTGAACCAACGGCAAAGGAAGACCTTTCTCTCTGTCTCTCTCTCTCACTGTCCACTCTGCCTGTCAAAAAAAAAAAAAAAAAGAAATTTCATTTTTAAAGAACTTGACTAATGAGGTCTTCAAACTCTGAGTATCAGAGGTAAGCATTTAGCCTATCAGTTAAGACACTGGCTGGGGCACCCACGTCGCAAACAGGACAGCCCAGCTCTGGGTCCTGATTCCTGCCTCCTGCTGACACTAACACTAGGTGGCGGCAGGGATGGCTGCAATGGATGGGCTCCTGGACCGTGTCCCCAGCTTCTGGCTCCAGACCCAGCATTGCAGGCATTTGGGGCTGAACTAACGAACAGAAGCACATACACTCACCCTCTCTCGCTGACTCTCAATCAATCAGTAACTTGTTGAATGAGAACAATCATCGTCAGCCCTTCCAGTTGTCTCAGGCCTTTGCTATGCACACCTCACACTTACCTACAAATCTGTTTGGAATCACTACTGCTCATCTGGTTGCTTTCTCTCTTTCAGAAGTAACATCACCTGTATCTCACGAGGCGCATTTCCCATCAGTGCCTCAGAGGCCCCCGGCCCGCCCCAAGATGGAAAGGGTCATCTCTCAGGGACACTGGCAGATTGTGTGCAGGTTGCACCAGGTTCCCACCAAGGGCCTGGGAGCCGTTACACAGATCTCTTTCCTCAAAGGCAGAATCAGCGGGCCCCACTACAAAGGCACAGGAGGATTACAGCACGAGGAATCTGATTTGTGGAATCATCTAAGGTCTCCCTTGGCCCCCAACCAACAATTGAAAAGAAGTGGGTGGGAGCCCATAGCAAGGTGAGAATCCTTCAGCACTCCGTAAATTTAATTATACCATGAAAATAGAACTGTAAAACTAAAAACAACAAAGAAGGACCAATTCTTAGTAACTTTGTTGTGCAAAGTATAAAACAGTGTATACAGTAGGCGGTTCTGTATAAATTCATATTTGTTCACATATTCTAAGAAACTCTGGAAGCCTACAGAAATGGAAAAGACATTTCAGTGAACACCTTTTAATTCTTTGGGGTATTTTAAATGCGGAAATGTACTGTCTATTTAAGAAAAAAACACAGAGCTTTTTTTGGCTTCAACTTTCATCACACTGAAAGGCCGTTTCAGAAACACTCACACAAGGAGCCAGCAGGTCCAGGTGCTGCTGAGCGCCGTTTTACCAAGACTGACAGATCCTACACTAGACACGTCTAAGAAGGCCGGATGGAAAGAACAGCTTCTCAGTCGGAGGAGACAAGAGCCGTATCACGACAGGGACAGGGTGAAGTGGTGACGGTGTCAAAGGCGACCCCAGTCTGACCTCCACAAGGAAGCCAGGAAGAAGTCAGCTGCTGCATGCCAGAGGCGGGCACCCTGTGTCTGACGAATCTGCTGCGGCTCAAAAACCAGCTCACGTCCTGGCTACCTGCAGTAAACGGCAGCAGTGTTGCCTCACTTGTGCCGGGAGAGGGACCGTGAGCCCCGTGTTCCTCTCTCAGCTGTCAACCCCTAAAGCAAAGCAGAACCACGGAAGCCATTCCTAGAAAGCGTGTGGGGGACATCGGCAGAAATGCCCCCAGGACAAAGTTCTTACCGAATCAAAGTGTTCTGTGAGACAACACTAAGGCCCTTTCATGGATCAGCCTTGAACGTTCTCAGGCTAATGGTATCTTTTTCCAAGTATATGGAACAGAAATGTAACTCTACTTACAGGTCTCCCACAACAAGGCACCTGTGGTTCTCAAGTCAGCACTTGCCAAATACTCACAAGCCACCTGCTGTTTGCAGGCCAGCCTCCAATTGATTCTTCACTTCAAAACCCTTCCATATCTTGGTTACAATCTTCCCCAAAATACACACACACACACACAAATCTATCTCCAAATCTAAAAATCACATAACCAGGGCCAGCATTGTGGCACAAGTTAAGCTACCACTTGGGATGTCGGCATCTAATATCAGAACGCCAGACAGCCAGAGTTGGGCCAGGCCGAAGCCAGGAGCCAGGAGCTACTTCCAGGTCTTCCACGTGGGTGCAGGGGCCCAAGTTATTAGGCCATTTTCCACTGTTTTCCCAGGCATATTAGCAGGGAGCTGTACCAGAAGTGGAGCAATTGGGACTTGAACCAGTGCCCATATAAATCAATCTTAAAAAAAATCACCTTCAGGCTATGTGGATAGAGTTTATGAAACATTTAGAGGGGCAGGCACTTGGCTCAACAGTTAAGGCACTCACATCCCCTATCAGAATGCCAGGGTTCAAGTGCCAATGCTCTGTTTCCAATCCAGCTCCTGCTAACGCGCCCGGGGAGGCAGAGGTAATGGTTCAAACACTTGGGTCCCTGCCACTCTCATAGGAGACCCAGATGGAGCTCCCGGCTCCTGGATGTGGCCTGGCCTGGCTCTAGTTGTTGCAGTTATTTGGGGAGTGGACCAGTGAATGGAGGATCTATGTCTCCCTCTCTCTCTCTCTTGCTCTCATTCTGCCTTTCAAATAAAAATAAATATTTTAAAATTAAAAAAAAAATAAATTCTATTGGATACTTTGCTTACCAGTGATGACCAAATACGAGTTTAGGTTTGGTAAAAGTGCAACTAATAACGTGGCATTATAACTCTAAAATAATATAAGATCTGGCCGGCGCCGCGGCTTACTAGGCTAATCTTCCACGTGCAGTGCCGGCACCCCGGGTTCTAGCCCCAGTTGGGGCGCCGGATTCTGTCCCAGTTGCTCCTCCTCCAGTCCAGCTCTCTGCTGTGGCCCAGGAAGGCAGTGGAGGATGGCCCAGGTCCTTGGGCCCTGCACCTGCATGGGAGACCAGGAGAAGCACCTGGCTCCTGCCTTCGGATTGGCACAGCACGCCGGCCGAAGCAGCCATTTGGGGGTGAACCAACGGAAGGAAGACCTTTCTCTCTGTCTCTAACTCTGCCCGTCAAAAAAATAAATAAAATTTAAAAATAATATAAGATCTATACACATACATACAAATGCACACTAAGCCTTCTTTCCCAATTCAACTCTGAAAATTCCCTCCCAGCTGCCTTTTAGGTAAAAGGTCCTGGCTCCAGTGCTGCCGAGGCAGATTTCTCAGCCAAGGCCGGGTCTGATCTTGGATCGCAGTTCCTGTGTAACAGGTGCGGGAAGTCTCCTCCTCAGGACAGCTGCCAACCAGTTCAGAGGGTCACATGAGCAACCCACAGAAGGTAAAGGGCACGGCTCTCGATTCTGCTCTGGCAATGCTAAGACCAGCTGGGATGCCAGTCTAAAGTTGAACAAGGACATTCATTTCCTTTGATCAAATAAATTGAAAAGGATGCATCTTACATTTAAGATGAGACTCTGGGGGCTGGCATTGTGGCATAGCAGGTAAAGCCGCTGCCTGCAATGCCGGCATCCCATGTGGGTGCCACTTTGTGTCCAGGCTGCTCTACTTCCCATCCAGCTCCCTGCTAATGGCCTGGGAAGAGCAGCGGAAGATGGCCCAAGTGCTTGGGCCCCTACACCCATATAGGAGACCCAGAAGAAACCCCTGGCTTTGGCCTGGCCCAGACCTTGCTTTTGCAGCCATCTGGAGAATGAACCAGCAGATGGAAGACCTCTCTCTGTCTCTCCCTCTCTCTGTAATTCTTTCAAATAAATAAATACATCTTTAAAAAATTAGGTTACGAGAACCTTCCAGTTTGAAAGGCAAGTTCCCCTGGTACCCAAACAGCCTCCAGGTGAGCGCCCCGAGTAACAGAAGAACTTGAATTCTGCCAGGCCACGGCTCTGGGGGCAGAGGCATCTGGATGAGGCTCTGCCCCACCACGTTCAGTCAAGCACTCTGAGTTATTTAACTTTTCTCGTTTGTGAATTCTAGAATAAAGGAAGTGACACTGACTTCATGGAACTCCTGGGTGCACAGCACAGGGTGAGGACCTGAGGGGCTCTAAAATTGGCAGCTGTGATTATCACCACTTTACGGGGAGCCCAAGAAGCTCAGATGAGCTTGTAAACAAAGTGCCCAGTTTAACACGTGTGTCAACTGAGGGCCAGCTATTCGGTGACGCAGCCTCGGTGAATAAGGACCAAAAATGAGGTAATGGGCCCCTGAGTCCCAGCTGTGACTACATCTAGATCAACACTTCCTGGCATCAGCGCGGGACCCAGCCCCGGGTGGTCGGCAGTAACTCGCATCGGGTGCCTGTCCTCAGAAGTTAATCTTACTGAATGTTTGGTCTTCCTTTATTGAGCACCTGTATCGCTTACAAACCAGTAACTATAGCATGTATCTCAGAAAGACCCTCAACGGCTATTTCTAAGACACAGAAACTGAGGTAAACGAACTCTGATAGTCTCAGTAAGTGAGGAACAAAATACGAACCAGACGTGAAATACTGTTCTAAGAGACACTCTGTGTCCGTGAAGCATTGCTTGATTTGTCATTGACACTCACTGTCATTATTTAATTCCAAAGAACAAGTCACATGCTTAACACGTGCTAACGCACCTTTCAATTTCCCATCAAAGTCAGGGCTCGTGGCCACCTGCAGCCCCGGATGTGGTAAGAGGAAACAGGTGACATCAGAGAAGCACGAGTGGATGTGGTTCCGGACGTTCTGAATTTCTTCGTGTTGGTGTTCCTTCACCTGCAATGGAGACCAACCATTTACCAAGGACCATTTGGCTTCCTCCACTGGGGCCACCAGAAGTAGAACAAAGGAAGGAAGACGCCCCAACTCTGACACCACGGCGGCCAAAGAGAAAACACAGAGCCCTGAGACGCACGAATGTCCACGTGGGACTGACCTGGCTTGGCTCCCACAGCAAGCACACAGGGAGCGAAGTTTCTGAACAGAGCATGTTGCACAAACACTGAGAACAAGGGCAGGCTTGTGCAGAAAGGACGACCTAACCGGTTGGAGGTGACTGACAAAGGAGTCCTGTGTTTTGATTTTGGGGGAAACAGGCTGGACCCGTTTATGTCCACACCAAACCAAATAAGAAATTTGAATAAAAACAACAGAACTAAGAATTTGAATATGACACTGTAAAGGCACACACAGGACCTGGTCTACGATGTGAAATGGAAGTTATATTCAACGTTCGGGAGCTTCCGCCCACAGTTCTCCCCTACACTCCCTGTGCGTTACATACCATGAATAAATAACACTGGTCTGTGCTAAGACTCATACATATCTAAAACACCGAACATCATTTCCAATCATGTTTTAAAGCAACAGCCAGAGGCAAATGAGCGAGCTGCGCGCCTCTCAGCTAACTCCTCAGAAGGCCGAGCTCCCACTCACCTGCAAACGCTTCTCCAGGAACGCCATGCCCCCTTGCAGCCCATAGCCATATTCGTAAGGGAAGCTCCAGTCCCGAACCAAAAACATCAGTGTCTATTTAGGGAGAGAACAGAGCACAGTGTAATGGTGCGTGGCTGCATTTTCAGGACAGCTGCATTACTTCTCTGCAGGATGCCAGCTTCCTCCAAGGGGACAGGGAAATGTGCTAAAGGATTGCCCTGCTTTTTCTTTTTCTTTTTTTTTAAGATTTATCCTGGAGAGCCAGCGTTGTGGTATAGCGAGTAAAGCCACCGTCTGTGGCATCCTACATGGCATGAGTTTGAGTCCCCACTGCTCCACTTCTGATCCAGCTCCCTGCCAATAGCCTGGGAAAGCAGAAGATGCCCAAGTACCTGGGTTCTTGTACCCACGTGGGAGACCCGGAAAAAGCTCCTGGCTCCTGGCTTCGACCTGGCCCAGCCCTGATCGTTGCAGCCATTTGGAGAGTAAACCAGCAGATGGAAGATCTCTCTCTCTCCACGTCCTCCCTCCCCCACCCCCCACTTTTTTTTTTTTAAAGATTTATCTATTTGAAAGAGTTACACAGAAATATCCCAGTCCAAAGCCAGGAGCTAGGAGCATCTTTCAGGACTCCCACATGCAGGCAGGGGCCCAAGCACTTGGGCCATCCTCCGCTGCTTTCCCATGCACACCAGCAGGGAGCTGCATTGAAAGTGGAGCAGCAAGGATTCAAATGGTGCCCATACGGCACCACAGGTGGCAGATTTACCAGCTACACCAAAACACTGGCCCCGAACTCTGCCTTTCAAATAAATAACATACATCTAAAAAAAATTATTGTTTGGAAGGCAGAGTTACATGGATGTGGGGGGAGATGAGGAGGGAGAGAGAGAGGCAGAAAGAGAATATTCCATCTGCTGGTTCACTCCTCGAGTGGCTGCCAACGGCCAGGGCTGGGCCAGACTGAAGACCAGGAGCTTCATCTGTGTCTCCCACCTGGGTGGCAGGGGCCCAAGCACTTAGGCCCTCCTCTGCTGCTTCCCCAGACACACCAGCAGGGAGCTGGATAGGAAGTGGAGCAGTGAACTGATGCCCACTGGGGATGCCAGTGTTGTAGGTAGCAGGCAACCCACTCTGCCACAATGCCGGCCCCGGGATCTACCTACTTTGTAATGGCTTAGAAACTTCAAACACCGGAAGGACAAGTGCAAGCCAATGTAAGGCCAGCGTATCCAGTCTGTTCTTTTTGTTCGCACAGGTTAACAGGAGCAGAAGGAAGACACTGATGAGGAGATACTCAGCTTGGTGCTCGGCCCTGAGGGTGAGAACGCATAGTGCAGAGGACAAGAGAGAAGACAGCGCAGCCCACACACTGGGTCACAATACCAGACCCGAAGTTAACGTCAAAGAGGAAAAGGATGGGGCTGATGCCGCGGCGAAGTGGGCTGAGCCACTGCCTGCAGCACCAGCATCCTATATGGGCCAGGTTCGAGTCCCAGCTGCTCCACTTCCGAGCCAGCTCCCTGCAGATGGCCTGGGAAAGCAGTGGAAGGTGGCCAAGCTTGGGTCCCTGAACCTGCACACGAGAAGCAGAGGAAGCTCCTGGCTCCAGAGCGGCCAAGCTTCGGCCCTGGTGGCCATTTGGGGCACGAACCAGCAGATGGAAGACCTTTCTGTCTCTCCCTCTCTCTGTAACTTCTAACTCACAGATAAATAAAAATTTTTGAAATAAATTTTAAAAAAGGGAGTAACACATCCTCAAAGCACCGCTCATCTTTGGGGTCAGCACACACTTGCTGTAAGGGGCTGTGTGATAAGCACCGCTCAGCTCTGCGGTGGTGAGCAGAAACAGCCCGGGCGGGACTCCCACACATGCAATGGGCACAGCTTAGCCCCATGAGAACCCAGCGACGGACACTGACGTCTCGGTTTCGGATCACTGACACATCCAATAAAGTATTATTCTCTTTTTCCCGCTTTTTCAACTGTTTAAAAATATTAAAACCATGCTTCACCCATAGCTCATATGAAAACAGGCGGCAGGCCAGATCTGGCCTGGGAACTAAATCCCAGAGTTAATGTTTTACCTGGAAAGGCTTCTGGAAAATTTCATCCATTGCCAGGCGGCCATACTCTGTGAAGAGCTATAAAAAAAAAAAAAAAAAATGATGGTTTGCAACGCAAAACTACTTAAATGCCTCTGTGGTTATTCTTTAGCCAAGTATTCGGTTAACAGACTGGACACTGCTTCCATGAGACATAAGTTCAGCTTCTAAACACCACAGGCACCATGAACCCCGACATCCGCTTGGCTACTGCCCTCGCACAGCCCACATCCCGGTTTGCCAGCGAATCCAGAATCCAACTGCACGCTCCTTCCACAAGGCCTGACATACTGCAGGAGCCTCCTAAGGGCCCTCCGTGCCGACTCTCGATACAGCAGCATGGTTAGGCCCCACACTGCTTCTACTCAAAACCTTGCAATCTCATCCAGGACAAAGGCCAGTCCTGGGGCAGGCGTCTGGCACAGGGATTCCTCTGCTGCTTGGGGCCTGTGCATCTCATATTCCATTGCCTGGGTTTGAGTCCCTGCTCTGTTCCCAATCCCAGCTTCCTGCTACTGTGCACCATGGGAAACAGCAGGTGATGGTTCAAGGGGTGTCAGCCATCCACGTGGGAGACCCAGATGAGTTCCAAGATCTTGGCTTTGGCCTGGCCAGCCCTGGTTGTTGTGAGCATTTGGGGAGTGAACCAGCAGGTGGAAAGATCTTTCTCTCTCTGTCTCTGCCTTTTAAATGAAATAAATAACAAAATTAAAAAAACAGATTAAAAAGCCAGTCCTACAGTGTGATCCAGCCACACTGGGCCTCCCTGCAGATCCTCAAACACTGGGCACTGTGCCTCAGGGCCTCCGCCTGGCTCCTGATGTCCTACTGACCAGCTGCGTCACCTCTTAGTCTTTACTCAAACGGCTCCTCCTCAGTGAAGACATCTGCGTAAAAAGTGGATCACTAAACCCTGGAACCCCCACAAGACTGGTTTAGGCCCTGACGCAACGGAATGGCCTCTGTAAGACCAGGGTTCACACGGACGTTCACCTCTGTTTCTTCATGGAGCCTCTCTAACGATAACGAAGCAAAGCTTGGAGTTATAAACTCACAGGACAGAGAGGCTGGCAAGCACTGTGAGGGCACACAAGAGCAATTAAAGACATCCTGAATGGAAAGCAAACAAACGACAACTGCCCAGGGTTTTGGCTTTTCCTACACTGCTAAGAAATCTGGGAGAAGCAGGAGCCAACAGGAAACTAACAGATTCTCTCAGCAGAGTCCCTGGTAGGCTCAGAAAACACAAGCACACAGCTACCTTGCAGGAGGGGCACGGCAGAGGGGCTGGAATGAAGGAAGTATCTGGAAGTCTTTATAGAGCACACCAACACTGCCAGATCCCCACCCTCATCCCACCTGCTTCCTGCTCCCGGACAGGAAGTAGACCGCCCGTGTTACCAGGGACGCCACGAGCCAAGGTTCCTGTCTTCCCATAAGAGTTTCAGGGGCCTGAGTCATGGCGTAACAGGTTAAGCCACTGCATGCAATGCCAGCATCCCATATGGGAGCCAGGTTCAAGTCCCAGCTGCTCCACTTCAACCCAGTTCCTTGCTAAGGAACTGAGCAAAGCAGTGAAAGATACCTCAAGTGTTTGGGCCCCTGAACCCACGTGGGAGACCCAGAAGAAGCTCTTGGTTCCTGGCTTCGGCCTGGCTTAGCCCCAGCCATTGGCAGCCACTTGAGGAGTGAAGCAGCAAATGGAAGATTCTCTCGCGCGCGCGCGCTCCTCTCTCCCCTCTCCTCCATCCCTCCCTTTCTGTGTAACTCTTTGAAATAAATAAATCTTAAGAAAAAGGAATTTCGGAAGTGAGGAAGCAAGCCAGTGATGCTTAAGGAAGAGAACACACCTGAGAGGCACCTCGGCCAAGAACTGAGCACACGGTCTGCATCCGTCCGGGTTACTGATGGGTATGGGCACACCTGCCCCTGCCGTTTCTTCCCCCCCACTTCACGTATGAGGTGTTGCAGGGTGGAGGAGGGTGTTCCGGGCGTGAGATTGGGGAAGCTCCTCCAGGGCCTTCATGAGCGCAGTGTTACCAGACCACACAGCCCCCTGGTGCCAGGCTGGGAGGATTCCCTGGAACCCCCACAAGACTATGGACACAGCAGGATCTGCGATGTGTAACTGCCCAGCTGTTGCCAAGGCACACGTCTTCGTTCCTTCACTCGTCCAACAGCACGAACTACCGTGTTTGTTCCTCCGGCCCCTCTCACACACACAGGCTGACGCCTACTTTCCTACCCAACACCTGGAGGATAAACCATAAAAAATCTAGCCCCAGATACCAAACTCAGCTGAGGTTCGCAGTACGTCCCCTACCTTCCTGGAAGCAAGTGCTTAAGTCAAAGTACAGAGACTGAACCAGGAGACACCTTAGCTCCCTTCAGCTGACAGCCCAAGAGTCCAGGTCTGCAAATGCAACAGACGAGCCTCAGAATCGTGCCCCACTGCCGCACGGAGATCCAGTCCAGGACCCAAGGCCACTCTTCTACCAAAGCTCAACTGCTTAGCGGCCCACTCTATGTGCACAGCCATGGACCACAAACCTTTGAGGAAGCCTCAGGCAGAAAAAACAAACAAACAAAAAAACTGAAGGGCATCTGTTTAAGGATTTATTTAATTGAAAGGAAGAGATACAGAGAGACAAGAAGAAGGAAAGAGAGAGAGAAAGAATCTTCCATCCACTCATTCAATCCCCAAATCACCAAAATGGCTAGGGTTGAGATAGGCCAAAGCCAGGAGCCAGGAGCTTCTCCCAGGTCTCTCACATGGGTGCAGGGGCCCAAGTACTTGGGCCATCCTCCACAGCTTTTCCCAGGTGCATTAGCAGGGAGAGGGACAGGAAGTGGAGCAGCCAGGACTCAAACTGTTGCCCATGTGGGATGCAGGCACTGCAGGCAGAGGCTGAACCTTCTACGCCATAACACCAGCACCCAGAGCTTCATCTTGTACCACCGCTGTCATTTTCTTTCCCTGCACTGTCTCTGGTCTCTTGTACACTACTGTGTGTAAACTGTTAAACCTTGTTTTCCCTTTTGTGTAAGTGGCCTCTCCCACTCCTCCACTTCTTCCTCCTCCCATCTTTTCTTTCTTTTCTTCTTTCTCTCCTTCACTACCTCCCTCCTTCCCAGTTTCTACTCTTTGTATCTTCATTCAACCTACTAGGGAAATTTTCTCCAATGTGTGTGTGTGTATATATATACATATATATATATATTATAAGATTTGTTTTATTTATTTGGAAGGCAGAGTTAAGGGGGGTGGAAGGTCTAGATATCTTCCATCCACTGGTTCAT